AATGTTACCAATGAAATCAGATAACAAGCTCCCTTGCTATTTGGGGTCTTTAAGATGTTGAACTTGAGAGTCGCTGTTACTATAAAAAAAAAAAAATCCCTCACAGTAGCAACTGTGGCAACTCAAGGTTGTCACCCAAGTCACAACTTAAGAGGGTTTTGGACACTTAAAGAAACTTTGTAATTTAACATCTGTTCTATATAAATATATGAACATTTGGCAGATTGTTATTCATCACTGTGGGACCATTAGCAGTACTCCCCAATCCTTCATTCAAAGGTAGTGGTCTGTTTTACAGAATGCTTTTCCTCTAGATGATTGTAGTCCTACCTTAAGCCTACACCCTTGAGATTTGAGTTTTGCTAGGCAAAGGACTGCTGAAATTTAAAGGAACCTATTGAAATTAACTATCATCAACAAACATGACTAAGTGCTAGGTAGGAAACTAGGCTTACAACTCTTCTCTGCCCTCTTCAGATGGCTATCTTCTCCAGCAATGTTAGACTTCTCTGTAACCCCAGTTCTCTGCAGCTTCCAACCATGACATCTAGACACAATGCTCAGTAGATACTGATCTTTTATCTTGTCCATCCATTTCTCAGTTATTCAGGACACCTATTCAAAGCAAAGTCCAGTCTTCATGATCTGCAAGCCAAATACGCAAATTCTTTTCTCCCTTCTGTTTTCATACTTGACAGTCTGCTTCTACCTTTAAGGTCACCTAAGGCTGAGCATGTTTTTTAAAAGGCTACAATGGTTGTCTTCATTAAATTAGTGGAAAGAAATGAAAAAAAACCTGCATTAGTCAAAGTGCCAGAATTTCTTATTAAATCCTCTAGCCTGTTGACATAAAATGAGCCCTACTGCAAGAGGTTAGCTTAAAAATGAAACAAGAATTGTTTGACTTTTAGAATACCAATGTAACACATGCAGCATTAATGCGTTAGATGTGACAGAGATCACACAGAGAGGGTGGGGACTGAATTACAATTGAGTTATAAAGCAATGAATGGAAGGTTAAATTTTGCTCTCTCAGACTACACCAGCATCATTCACTGCAGTGGCACTACAGAAGTACAGACTGAAAGAGAATGTATCCAGAAAAATAGTTTTTACATTTCTATAGGACTACAGGTTACTTCTTTCTTTTATCTTAAATGCAGAAGAAATTCTTCGATAATCTAGGTTGACATTCTGATTAATAAAGGCCACTGAATGATTCTCTGGCTGCTGTCTTCCATATCGTAAGTCACAGAATCCAGCCCTGAGGTTTTTTTCTAAATATACTCAAGGGACAGTCTAAAATTAGTCCAACCATCCACACAGTAAGACATTCCCCACTGCGACTCAGAGTGATAAGTTTCAGTCTTTCCAAAATGATATGGACTCAAAAACCAATTAAAGAAGAACATAAATAAAGTATGGTCAAAGGCTACACATCATTCTGGCAACTCGTGTGCTGGCTGTCAGGACCACTGGAGACCTTCAGGTTAACTGCCACCTTTTGTTACTACAGAACATCTACTCTCTGATGTTTTCTCCTCTCCAGAGGGCAGGAGATCTCTGAACACCTTGCCTCGAGTAAAGGCAGGGAGCGGTTCTGTAACTGGATGATCAAAGCTGGTTACTCTTGGAGGAAAGGAAGAAACTGTCTGTAAAACAGGAGAAGAAAAAAATAAGGTCCAAATTCACTAGAGGAATTTTGGAATGCTACAAAAACATGAAGGGTACATTGGAGAGATCAAAGAAATCTCAAAGCCTGGATAGGGAATCAAACTTTCTGGCTGCATATCTGTATAAGACCACCACAATTCTGAGGTTTGTTCGCAACGGTTCTAAGCTCAAAAGATTAGTACCAGACAAGGAGTAAAGCACAGATCTGAGTCCTCCTGCACTGGCAAGAGACCAGCCTAAAAGCAGGCTTGAGTGAAGAATCCTGTGCAGATGCAGAAGAAAGGCAGAGCATGGAACTGGATGAAAGAAGCCCTGATGCTTTCACCAAACGTACAAGCTGGAGCTGGATTTCCCCACATACAGACATGCAAAGCTGATACTGATTCAAATGCAAGCAAATTGTTCTGTGGTCCAGCCTGGCATTAGCAATGTAAAGCAAACTGAAAAGTCTGTTATTTTTTCTGAATGTTGCAGGCACGTGATAGCAACTGAAAGGAGCCAGACTATACTTTGAAGCTCGATATAGGGAAGATTTCAGTCTCTTCCACAAAAATGAATTCAAAACAGAAACTCATGCAATTGTTGATTACATTATTGTTGATACCACCTACTGTATATCATAAAATCCACAGGTGGGTAGGACACTCTACAGATGCAGGTGAAATTATGCTTCATTATCAACTGACTAGTAAATGGACACTGGAACTGTCAGGCAATTTTTCTATGTTGTCGAAATAACTTTCTGTGGTTAGTCATATTGAAAATACAAGGAACCAAATCACCAAGTGATCCACTAAACCAAATCAAAAGCAGTATAAAATCATTAGTGGCCCATAAAGCAGAAGAATCCAAAAGAAAGCCTAGTTTTGAAAATCTAGTACACTGTCAAGTACCTAGACTGAAATGCAGGTAAGATGACAAATGACTTGTCAGCTAAAAAACATTCAAATAATTAGAATACTATTAAGAAAACAGCCTTGACTTACTGTTAAGTAAAATAATGGTAAACTTTCAACTGTAGTCTCTGACAATTAAGCTTTTATGATTTCAAGTAACAAGCTGATAAAAACAAACAAAACAAAACAAAAAACACAAGACAGGAAAAAGAAATTTCAGGTGCCACTGTCAAAACTGGTATCACAACTCTGCCCAGCTCAACTGAAAGGGGAATTGCTGGAGATCTTGCAGTTTTCATACTCAACATATTCCATGAGGCCACCTGGGAGTCTCCATGTTCTCTCTGAAGAATTCAGCAAACTGCTCACAACAGTTATCTGAGGGAACAAATGCAATTAAGAAAAAAGCAAGTAGGATCATGGTAAATCAACTGACAAAGAAGACCCATGTTTTGTGACAACCATAAAAATTATATTTGCTGGTCTCTGTCAATATGTTGCAAGAGGCAACTTTGAGCTGAAAAAGGCATCATATAAATGAGCAACAGCTGGCCAAAAAGGAAATTTATTTTGTAATTCAGAACCACAGAACTCAGTAGTTTGCAGTTTTCAATGATACAAATAGAAAGACAAGCTAATGTTAGAGTGTGAATTAATCGTTTCTGTGCTGAAGTACTTAGGCTGGCTGAATTAATCCCAACAACATATCACTAATGTGAATGTCAACCTAGTTTCAATAAAAGGCTAATAAGGATGGAAATCTCCCTTATCTGTGGAGAAAAGTCAAAATTGCTGTCCACAAAGACTTCAAAATGACACCAATATCTCCAGCAATGAGAATGTAATGTAACCTTTTATGACTGAAAAAAAACACATTTCTTAGAATATGGCTATGAGTTGTCACCTGATAACATGGGGATCTCTATTTCTACCAAACCATAAATCCTGGTCTTTTCTTACCAGGGCAGGATGGTTAAGCATACTTATTTCCATTTGACCATTAAAATGAAGCATCTCTCTTCTATTCATTTATTAATAGGATACAGTCAGAAGTATTAAGGCTAGTGTCAGTATATCAGAAAAATTTAGGATGCAGAGCACAAATAAGGCAGGCAGAGCTGTCACATGTCACCAGGTGTGTCTTTAGGCAAGGGCAGAAATCTGCTCCATGCTTGAACTTGCATGAGGCCTAAACTCAGCAATATTCCACAAACACATCTTAAAGCAGGGACCATGTTGGAGGATAGGCCACTCCAAAGGAAGTAATATAAAATATTGAAAGTTCTATTCATATTAATTAAATTTCTAACAATAAAGCAAAGCCAGCCATACAAGATAGTCCAGAAAGATCACTGAAAATACAGCTTCCACACCTACAATTTCAATATTTTGAAGGTATCACAGTGTTTCTACTTGCTCGTCTTTACTCAAACTAACTATAAGTACATAGAAATACTGTCCATTTATCTCACCTATACTTCATCAGCTTGTCTACAAGGATGATAAAAGTCTAGCTGAAGTCAAGATAAAAAACATCCACTACTCTTCCTTCATCCATCAAGCCAGTTGCCTCATCATGGGAGGCTATCAGGTTGGCTAAGCACAATTTGCCCTTCATAAATCCATGCTCACTACTCCAAATCACCTTCCTGTCTTTCATATGCTTGAAAATGGTTTCCATAATTATTTGCTTCATCAGTTTCCCAGAGGTCAAGTGAACTTGACTGGCTTGTAGACCCCATATTCAACTTGTTCCTGCCTTGAATGAGTGACACTTACTTTCCTTGAATCCCAAGAAGCCTCCCCCAATCACCATGACCTATGATTATCAATCCTGTCTCTTTCTAGCAGTCCTTGATCTTCAAAGATGGTCCCATGGCCATAAACCCCAAGTATCAGCTGTCAACAAGAGCTGTGCAGCCAGTTGTTAGCTTTCAGCATCTCCTGAAGTACTTGCTCCTCACCAGCAAGATCAAGGAGAGACCACCTGGACCCCCACGCCCTTGAAATTCATCTCAGAGACATGTAGTTATGCTTTATGCACTCCAGGTCTCTTCTGACATCATGACTAGTGCCCACATGGAAGATCAGCAGTGGGTAACAGTCCAAAGAACAGAAAAGCCTCAGCAGTGTCTTCACAACATCCTGAATCTGAGTCCCAAGCAATCAGCAAACTTCCCTAGACAGTTCATGAAGTCAGCCAAAGTGGGCCTCCATCCTGCACAGCAGAGAATCACTTCCAGCTGTCCACTGCCACTTCCTCCTCATGCCATGGAGGCATCCCAGCCCCTCACCTGCCTCAGTGCACTGAATCTACTCTGTAGACACAGATCCACAGACAGACAAGAACTGTCCTCCATTACCAGAATTCACAAGTGAGTTCACCTAAGTGAGTTTCCATTTCCCAACATAAGCACAGGCTCTGCCTACCCGTCCTTCCTTGATGCCCTTCTGGGAGGGGTCAAGCTTTTGAACCTGGAGGATCTCATAGAAGATCCAGTTAATCTCCTTTTCAGCAACCCCACTGCCACACAGGCTGCTGACCTCCTGCAGCTCCAAACTGGACTCCAAACAGACTCCTCCCCACAGCACAGCCCTCCTGTAGACCATAAGCCCTCCTGCAGACCAGGAGCCCACCTGCCCAGACCAGCCTGAGGGATCAGGCATCCCCACAGCCCCCAGCCTTCATCTTCCGTCCAGAGCACAGTTTGGGTCAAGACCTCTGCTGTGCCAAGACAGTGACTCCCGTGGGTGCTGGGGATTCGTCCCATGGTGCATCACCACCACAGAGCACAGGCACAGTTTCTAGCTCACTCCTGTAGACACCCTTGAATCTGTTTGCACGGTGCTGTGCTCAAGTCAGGGCTCTTACATCGGCCACTCCCAGCCAGGGCTGCAAGGCTGCTCCACACTCCCTAAGTCTGAAACTCTGTACTGCAGCTGCAAAGTTTAGTCCAGATATCTTTATCTGCTTTGTATTTTGCAGTCTTTGGAATCACTGAAACATTAGTCAAAGGCAAAGGAAAATGAAGGAATATTTTAGAATTAGACTGTTTCCAAAAGATCAAAAAGACCTAAAAGTGCAATAAATTATGCATATGCTTAACTTTATGCACACAGATGCGCTAATATAAGTGAAATAAAATATGGCCAAGTGTTTGTGGTGTTGAAGATTTAGTCTAACACTGGGAGAAATGATCTAACAAAATAAAACCAATTTCAATGTAATTTGTACTTTTGCAGTGAAACAGAAAAATCTATTCTGCAGCTAACAGGTTAATCTGTAGTTAAAGTCTTTCCTAAACCTTCCTAAAACTTTCATAAATACAATTATCTTTTTCAGACCATATGTAAAAGACAGAAGGCTGCAGCTAATAACAGCATTTCTCAGGATACTCTCTGAGTCTCCTGTGGGAAGATTTGGCCTCTTCAAAGGAGGTGAAATCCATGCAAGGCAAAAAGTGAAAAGAAAGCAGTATTTTTCATTTTGTGTTTCCCCATTTTTGCTTTAGATTTAGCAAAAAATAGAAAAATCTATTGAATATGAGTGATTAAATACATGATCTCTGACTACATAGTTGACGTTTTGGGCTTTGCTAAAATGGACATTGAAATAATCCCCCAAAGAATAAAATAAATTATTTCAAGCACATATATTGTCATATATATATATTCACTTTCCAAAATACAGGTCTCTGCTCCTCCAGCTCCAGCCTGGCTGGCATGGCAGCACATCACAAAGGGCAACAACAGCCCTTGGATGATCGAGGTGCCTGGACTTGGGGACCACGTTTCCTCCATTAGCTCCTTTTTGATGTGATGATATGCAGAGACAGCTATCACAGAGACACAGTCCTGGATCTTTCCTTTTCATACCTCTCCATAACTAGCATTCTCAAATGTGTAGAAAGATTATGAAATATAATTTCATGCAATTATTGTCTCTCTCATATCAATATTTAAATCACACTACTGTATGTTAAAAAAAAAAAAAAAAAAGATGGTCACCATACACTGGTGTTATTTAGAGGTCCTCTGGGTAAAGCATCTTCTAACACAGTGCAATGGGCTGCTGTATTGTAGTGTTTCCTCTTGCTGAGGTGCAGATGCAGATGTTAATCGAAATTAACATTTTATAAAACCCTCCTTGAAGTTAGATACCTCACATCTTCAAATCATTACACGTAGCACACAATATAATTTCAATTGCAGTTTTAGTGTATTATATATGTAAGGCAAACATTTCTAACTCCATATTAATGCAGTCTTCTGTCAGGAAATTTTCTGCCCTTCAAGGGTGACAGTAGGACAATCAAATTTTCTCAGGCTCAGGTATCATATACTCAGGAAAATCTAATACATGCATAAAACAAGCACTCAAAAAAAATCCCAAACCACCAAATATTCTAAAAGAAAAAATATATAGCTCAGAAACATAACCACATGATACACAATTCAATCTAGCCTTGATGTCACAACATCACAACAAGTAAAATGTATATGGAAAAACTATCTTTAAAATTTTGCTTCATATGATTGGGAATGAAAATGTCTCCATCAAAACTATGTGACGAGTGTATAATTTTTCAATATTATCGCTGATTTTCTGGGACTTGTCAAGGCTGGCTCTCTAATAAATCTTAAATGCTAAATCTCAAATTCCTGAAACATTTTCTTATCTTGAGAATTCAGGTGAACTGATCATCCCTTGAATGGGATGTCTTTTTAAGAACCGGGAACTGCCTGGCTTATTATGGAGGCAACTGACATTTTGAGCTAGTTTGATTTGGAGGAACAGAAACACAAGGTGAAAGGGTAGCTCTGTCCCTTTATATCTGGCTTTCAGACCCAAGGACTGAGAGGATAATTTTTTCACATGGCAGTAAAACTTGAAAGCAAAGAGGTTGGACTGAGTCCTGACAGTTGATAGCTTTTCTTTTTCATTCACAGTGAAAAAAGGAACACTTAGCATTTCACAGCTTACGAACTGATAAATCCTTTTCCTTAACTCTGAAAGGATAATTCTGTAATGTTTGTCCTATTACTTCACCAAGATAAAACAGTTCCTTCATATGTTCTACAATAATAAAAAATTGTGACTGATTGTTTAATTATAACATAATATTAGGTCTTCTTTAATGGACTTGTTCAGAATAGTTTAATTGTGAATACTGCTTTTTATATGTCAATTAACTGAAAGGTTTGGTAAGTAGATTATGAACTGATATAGGAAAAATGTTATGTATGCTCAATGGTCTGCAGATAGAGAGAAAAAGAAGAGAAGAAAACTTGAATAGTTATGTTTGCAACCAGTTAAACTACTGTGTACCTAACAGGCACGAACCATAGCCCAAAAGACTCAGAAACAGTAATGAAGAATGGGAAACTATTTTACATTTATTTATGTGTTTAATATATACAACATAAGTAAACCAACACTGGATAAACAAAAAGTAAGAAGAAATATGCCTTAGAGATAAAGATACCCATGAGAACTGATTTGAAATAAAAATCAGGATGCTGACAGTGGACAATGTTAAAAGCTTCAAAGGCAAACAAAACAGACGTGTATCTGAACAGAGGAGCAAATAACAAATTAAAGAGGAGGAAGCATCCTGGGAAATCACGTCTAGATTACAGTATGTAATTACAGGATTTGCAGCTTGATAAAGCAATTTATTATAGCAGTGGATTAATTTTAAGTCATGGGTGAACACCAAGATCTGAAAAAGAGCCAGCTACTTACTTTAGCAATCTTATTCTACTCAAAAGTTGTAAGTTACAGTTTCACCTACCAGCTGCACAATGCACAACTAAAATGCACTTGATGTATGTCTTTACTTACTGATCACATAAGGGCATTCCCAAATACCTCAGACATCAAAGACAGTATTTATTATTGCATTATTATTTTTCCAGCAAACAAAAAAATGTAACTTGTTAAATTTTAAATTTTAAACTTAACTTCAATAGCCAAATCTCTAATATTCTTTTCAGAAAAAATACTGAAAATTTGAAAATAGCACAAGACAAAAGGAGCTATGAAGCTATAGACCAACTTTACTCATGAACTCAGTGAATCATGTACAACATATGAACTCAGTCACCAATGCACCCAAAAGCTAATTTCTCCATCATTTGTTTCATTTAACACAACTGTGTTCAGTCCTTTTTGTGAACCCTAATGCATAAGGAACGACATCTGAGGACTCAGTAGGCAGTACTTCCTGAAGATCCAGTTTCCCCTCTATGAGGACACCTGTGAAGACCAGCCCAGTGGGATTTATTGTTCAGAGTGGATCAAGACAGATACATACATAACTACCTTAATTATAGGGGAACAATCATAATTTTATTGATCAAAACTTTAAACACAGATAGCTCAAAGGAATTTGATTTAAATGATACAAACCTTTTCATCATCTATTATACAAATCTGAGAACTTAATTGGCTTTGTGCAGCCTGGTCTAGTGGGAGGTGTCCTTGCTTATAGCAGGGAGGTTCGAACCTGATGATCTGAAGGTCCCTTCCAACCTTAATGATTCAATGATTCTATAAATTCTATGCAAGTAATTCCTATACATCAAGAAGTCTAGGCATATTCCTACAGGAATTCTAACTACTGGAAAGAATATTTAAGCAAATATGTAAAGCTGATTAATTCGCCAGAAGATACATCAGAATGTATAAAATGCAGAGATAAAAATTATTCTGTGCTCTGTATCTGATGTACATGATATAGAACTGATAAAGATATATGGAAGAGAAAAAGAAGGAAAACCTGTAATTGAACTGAAATGTTAATGCTGAGAGACCAATTTTACTTGACCCTGATTTTAAAATAAAAATAATACTTTTAGAACCTGTGGAATATTAAACTGTTTGTTCGTCTCTTAGAGCTTACTTACTTCACTTGCCTACATTCCTACAAATGAAGAGAGCTAGTCCAATTTGCAGTCAGACCTTAACTTATTTGAAGTAAAAATAAGTAAGACTTATAACCTCTTTGCTACTGTTTAAAGAAGCATAACAATCTTTGTCCATTTTTGTCAGACAGTACAAATAATGCTATTAATGGTGAAGTAGAAGACATAAGAAAATAGCTTTTTTAATCAATTGTTCTAACTCTGTTTCATGCCATTCTAATAGTTTTTTATGATCTTTAAAATTTTTATAACCTCCTTTGTAAGTGTCTTGAATTGCAAGGGAAAAAAAACTGCTTCAAGACCAGAAATAGAAATATGAATATGAGAGAAATAAAATTGTCTGGTTACCATGAGGTTTGGCAGAAAAATCATGGACAGAAATCGTATGCATATTTACAGATTCACTTTGCATACATAATGACCATGATTGCAGTCAATCAAACATTAACTTATCCAATTGATCATTTGTGCAGCAAATCCTTAGCAAAGTATCATTTAGTTATGAAAGCAAATTCACACCCATTGTGCATGCACCCTTGCATGTCTGACCTTCTAAATACCAGACCCTATGTTTACTGTGATTTACATGTCATGTAGATGATCATTAGGAACTGGGGTAGAATCTTAATGACTGCAGTTTATATACATTCAGTGCTCACCTGGGCAGGACTTGGCCCAAACAGGTGCAGGTTTTTTGCTGGTTCAGAAAAGGATCAGCGACAAAGGGATTCACAAAGCTA